AAGAAGATAGAGGATCAGATCTAAGACGATGAAATTGCAGCAAACGATATTGGAATGCTGCCCAAGAAGTCAAAGCATCTGGTGGTTAGTCTCCTGTCGAGGCAACACACACTCGGGCTTTCTCTACCCCGCCATTTAGTGCATTCGTAGACGTATCAAGATTGGAAAAAAAAGATCTTATGTTAGCCGTTATTCCAGATGGGTTTACTTTAATTTGTTTGACCATGAATGTATCCGTTAACAGATAGAATAAGGGAAAAAGTGGTGCAGGCAGATGGTAGAGTGCATTGGGGGATGACAAGAGGCTTTGCGAAGACAATTTAAATATAGATGAACCCAATTATAGTTTGTCTTCTGAGAATGGGCAATATAAAAAATATATCCGCGTCCCCTTCCCACAGTATGTTTCTTCTCACTGTTTAGAAAATAAACCATATAATCACGGAAAGCTGATAGTAAAGTAGAAATTAATGAATAGCTTAATCTTTAAGATCGCTGTCCAGGGATTCCCTTAATTGGCAATCACGGAAACAACGGAATTAAGACCCTTTACTCGACCCGACAAGCTTAACAATGGAGTCCGCAATAGACTCTGTTCTCGAAGGCCTGTAAGTGGTGTTTGATAATTAGTTTCAACTAGTTTGTGCGACTATTTCTCTTAAACTGAGGTTGCTCTTATAGATCGAAAGCAGACAATGTTAAGGGTGTCTTAGTTGCTGACGGAAACGGTCTTTGCATCGGAGGTATGTCTTTGTAACGTAATTTCAACGTCGACCTGACCTTTAGTGATACTTTGACACTGCATGTTCGCGATATAGCAAGAGGAATAGCAAACCCAAGCTTATCTGGGTATGTCGTAGCCGTCGCTGAACAGGCTAAAGACCTTGCCGATGTGTCGTCTGAACTGCCGGTTGTTAAAATAGAATCCGAAACTGCGTAAGTATACGCGTTCCCATTACGTGTTTTCTTGACGGATTGGAGGTGAGCATATCCAACTAATGACTATATTTAAAAATAAAGCACAATAATGATCAAAGGAAACGACAAGTATATTATTGCAATATTTAAATGACAATTCTGATAAAACGTCTCGAGCACTCGTAAACTATATTTAATTTGAAATAATGAACGAAATACTCGGTGGTCGTCTTGGCATTTTGGAACATGGGACGTTCTGGGGTGGGGGATATGTAGGTACGATATTAGAGCGTGAAGCATTCGCGTCAATAAAGTGGACATTTAAGTTATAAGTAATAAATATGAGTTATTTGAATTATTCGCTTATTTGAGTACCATCTATTGACAATTCCGAAACACTGTGCGTTTCAGAACCAACAGGCTAATTTCTCGATCGTTCACGAGTATTAGATATTTTAACAGTGCAACTGAGCAATGATGGAATGGTCTTCTTGTACGATTTCTTCCGTTGGATATTAGATTTGTGTGTTGATTTTTGGCAACACAGCGATACGTTCGTAATTTTAAACTAAATTCTTTCATAATATTATGTAGTCTTCCAAATCCCAGGGTTTGTCAACAAGAACTCTCATATTCTAGATAATTTCCTACATTCTTACTGAACGCGAACCTTTCAAAGGATAAGTTTCAATCCTGCTCTGGTTTTAAATCCTGCCTTTGTTTCTTAGGCTTGTTGCTGTGTCATTAATACCTTCTTTGTGATATGGAATGCTGCAACAAAATAGAGAGGTGGAATATAGCACCACCTTTATTCTTTTCCTGTTCCGTATTTGTCATCACCAAACGAGGCTGATAAGCCTATTTAATCCAATAACGCAACGATTATCCGACTTTTGTAAGCAATGATGTTTCTTTCTACCAAACGATGCATCAGGAGGATGTGAGTACTCGGCCAAAGGCAAAACGACTCTGGTACACTTTCGATACGTATAGCGCGGATAACTGTTAAGTAAGAATAATCACGTGTAATCTTTCAAGAATCCAGGACGTGTCAAGGATGTATTTCAAGATGAGGACAGTCACATACTACAAATGCAAGTAAGAAAGAAATGTATTGCTACTCTTACATAATTGCCCGAATTTTGATTATTGCTCACAACGAATATCTTAATCATTCCATCACCGAACTAAAGCATATTCATAATGAGTGAATAGTTATTTTACGTTAGTTTATTGTCTATCTATCTGGTTGGGCATCCAATCGCGTGTTGTCTTCCAAAAAATCAACTATCCTTTCCGAAGGCTTACCGGAAGGGTTGAATCCCTCTTGAACAAATATATTCATTAATGTAATTATCTGATATCTTTCAGGTAACCGATCATAAAGAAGGAGGTAATATTCAATGTGTTTTTCTCATCTTGTTAATTTAGTTCGATACTTCGATATGCATTCTTGGGCATTCAAACAATCAGGTTATGATCTATCAAATTCTGTAAAATTGAAGTTTTCCCGTAGATAGGGCTGACTATTTGCCTTCATGTTTCTTGTTAAATACATATTCTCTGAGAAAGGTCGAACTCAGTTTTAGATTCTTCAAGTCTTCATCCTTCAGCGTAGTGCTTGTTGATGAGATCACCTCAATGACAGCAAATTCAAGTGGCGGGAGCGCATTGCGAGCGCGCTCTTTATTAACTATTATAAAGGAAGAACATTTATCGAATTGTAAGATAATGTGTGCGACGACAAAACGCTAATAATACATATATCAGGATTACACATACTTAAATTAGCTCCCTCTAGTGTCTCTTTAGATACTACTAACGCTTCTATTTCTGGATCTGTAGCTGTTGGGCCATAGATGTCGTATATTGGAACCACCTATAAGGTACAATTATATTTATTATTTTAACGTGAGGTGATGCGATTTTATATTATATCATATCATACGCATGTAGTCATCCGGAATTAGTTTGTTTTACCTCGTATGTAAGCCCTCTTTTTATTTTATTTAGGAACTTTCGTACGTTTTCGATTCGCGTATCAAGCGATTCCATGACTTCCCTGTATTTCTTGTTGATTAGCATATTCTCGCCTGAGACCGATGGCATCAACATTAGTTAAAAACGCTTGACAACGTCGACGATCTACTCAGCCGCGCTCACCTGTTACTCCACATATGAGTTTTTTCTTTGTAATCCATACGCTCATGGTCAATAATATCTTATGTCCCGAATGCAAGTGATCAAATGTCCCGCCGACTGCTACTACGTTATACGTTTTCGTAGCAACGCTTATTGGATCAACATTAATCACTTGCGCGTGTACAGGTGAACGAGCAATTAAATGGATTGGAATTTCAGGAAGAAATGACTGTTTTCGGCGCACGTTAACGTTTAATAAATACTTCTGATCTAGTGTATAAATCTAGCGTTATACGCAACAATGAAGTCAAAGATATCAAATCTCTACAATGACAGCTTACCCTCCAAGTGTCCAAACAACACTTCATATGTATCGTCAATTCCGACATCATATCCGCACCATCCGCCAAATACGATATCTAGATCAAATAAAGCCTTGTCGGTTTCATTGCAGTACTTAGCTGCCTCTACATACAGCATCGACAATAAGTCATGTATTGGCGCCCATGTGTTTCGATACTCGTCAATATCTAGAATATCTATCACGAGAGTAAGGGAATCTGTTGTCTGCTGGATAGCGGTTTTGATTAGACTGAGATGCTGATTTGTTATTGATGCCAGCGACGTTAGCGAGAAATATAATAATGTGGAGGAATAGGATTTATTGATCATTCTGATAAATCAACAAACTAATGCCACGTAATGACAATTTATTGACCTGATGACTGTATTAATATATACGAAATATGCTTACTCTAATTGTATGTGACACAGAACCGTTTCTATACAAGTTAGTTTTTGGGATGAGTGGCACTTGGTCAGGTAGAACGAGCATTGATGTGTTATGCAACTATCAATGAAAGATATAGTTTAGGGAATTGTTATAAGAGGGATCTACTGGGACAACTTAAATCCCCGATTGTGCATATTTTAAATCGCATTAGCATTGGCTGAGAAATAAATGGTTTTGACATTGGTTTGCAAGTCTCAGGATAAAATCTTTCCGCGAAGAAAATAATATATGCTTCCAGCGAGTATAAGAGCATCACACGTGAATGTAATGATGATGATGCTGTGACTGCTATTTACATAATCTATCGCGAACTACCGGCATGCTGAGAAAGTACGATTGTTTCTTTTTTATGTAATATGACGATCACCAAACTGTGGTGGCATAGCCACTGCACGGCCTCAATTTCTCGCTGTATCTTGGGGGTTTACAAATTCTATATTAATATTTCTATTATTGAAATAAGAACTTTCGAATGAGCATAATACTAATGACTATCAAATTCAAGTGATCTGTTTACGATTTTTCATTTATTATACTAACACTGTATTCACGTTAAATAAATTCGTTTGGTTGTTAATTATATCATTACAGAAACTGAATACGCTTGGCGTGTATTTGATTACATCACGGTTCTTACTGCACCAGTAAAGCGAATATCCAATTAACATTTCTCAAAAATAGCTTTCAAAAAGATCCTGAAAAGAAGTAAAGCGGGTATTGGGTGTTATTGTGGGATTGTTGAAAGATCGGAAAACCCCCCTCCTGTCAGAAAATCAGGATTAAAAATAAATAGTAATAGGTGCATCCTTAGACGATTATACGCGCTGACCAATCATATTCATATGCATGCGGTAATTTGTTATCTTAAACGGTAAAAGAAGTTATTTTTCAATGTTTCTATTTCGGGAAAGCACTTTAATCACTGTAGAACAAAATCGCAAATGTACGGCTCGAAAAACTAAAGAACGAGCGCAAAATTATGATTTGTTTAGTGAGATTAGGATTACGTGGGGATGCTGAAAAGTTTTGTCACCGGGGGTCATATCTCAACGATCAGCTGACTGATCCAAAAATGGATGTGATCCAACGTTCCGCAACGTCTCGGAGAATAAAAGAAAAAAAAGATTACACAAATTCATTTGAACAGCAACGATACTACATTTATGTTTCATGGAAGAACGGTCGGGAGCCAACTCAGATTCACAATGAGTTAGTCAATGCGGAAGGGGAAGGTGCACTATCGCTTCGCACAGTTGAACGCTGGGTTCGTGCATTCAAGGACGGGAATGAGAGTGTTTCTGACAAGGCTCGTTCTGGACGTCCTTGCGAAGCAGTGACGTCAGAAAAAATTGCCAAAGTCGACGACCTTGTTAGCAATGACCCTCATATTACTACCACAGAATTAGCAGGTATTTCCCGTGAAAGAATTACTCATATTTTGCGCAATGAACTGGGCTTTCACAAAGTCTGTGCGAAATGGGTTCCTCATAAGCTTTCGGAGGATAATAAGAGGCTACGAGTAGAAGTTTCTAAAAACCTATTGGAAATTTTAAAAGAAGGATACAACAATATTATAACCGGAGATGAAACATGGATATATTTCTTTACGGTTTCAAGTAAGGAAGCAAATAAGGTTTGGATAGAAAAGGGG